AGTGTCCAGCCTCAGACAGTGATTTTGGAAAATAATGAGCAGGGGAGAGGGAAGGGGAGATGTGATAATGGAAACCATCAAGTGCTCCCTGATTCAGGTTTGATACTTTTAGCTTAGTAGAATCTGCTCCTTAAAAATGTATGGTCCTGAGTCAGGAAAGCCTCTAGGCATTTTCTTAAATACATCCTTATTCAGGACAGCACTTCTTTGCTTAACTGTAAGCACATGCTTAAGTGCAGCCCCAAACAGGTCCTGACTATTGGCCAGTGTTACCGCAGACACAATTCATTTGTAAGTCCAACATTAGGATTTTTGACTAGTATTGCTTTGTACTGAATGGGGCTTAGATGCTTTGAGAGAGGTACCATACAAATAGGTTAACTAAATACATCATAAAAATATAAGATGGCTTAGAAAATGTCAGCTTTAATAAAAGATCTGTTTCACAGAAAAGATAGTAACCTGCAGACCAGAGACAACATTAGTTATAATTGCATTTTACAAAGTTAAAATGTGTTAAGATTGCAAAATCAAGCATTCAAGTGGGTACATAGTGTCTATGAAGTATACAATATCTATTTGCACCTATCTATATTTTATGGGTTGTACTAAGGGATGCTTCAAATGCATCTGTCGTGTACAAGAACTTGGGCATGCAGCAGAAAGGGTAGACGACACATACTGCTCCCTCCGCACACTCTCAGCGGAGATGTCATGGCAGAAAGGGGCCCATCTCCTCTTGAAATGCTGCCAGAGCCTGTCAGTGCTTGAGGAGATAAGGAGCTTGATTTGATTTTCTTTTATTCATTCAATAGTGTTTGTAAGTTTGTTTTTGCCATTTGTTTTCTGCCTTGGTTTGCTTTGTTTTGTAGTTGACCTAAGTTTCCTTCCCTCTGTGAGCCAGGAATGGGCTGAGCCCATTGGGAAGACATACCTTTTGGTCCTTCAGTATCCTGCAGCAAGTTCTTCCTGCCCCCTGCCCCACCTAATGTAGTGAGGCCCCAGGGGTTTTATTGCTCCTTGGGCAGGAGATACAAGGGTGGTGGGAACGATATACATGAGTGCGGGAGCACCATAGTAATATACAGGGGGAGTAGTTACTTAGCCTTGTTATATGTCTTAATTAACATCTCCCCTTTCCTTTGTTTTTCAGATCTGTGGAATGTGAGAAATGTTGCTGACTCAGCACCTGGCCAGATGCTCGCAGCCCCATTAAAGTAAATATGTTGTGATGACTAAGCGCAGGTCTCCACTACTACTTAAGTCAATTTAACTTACATTGTTTAGGGGTGTGGGAAAAAAACCCTCCCCCAAGTGACGCAAGTTTTGCGCTGTCTACACCAGCACTATGTCAGTGGGAGATGCTCTCCCGTCGACATAGCTTATGCTTCTCGCCGAGGTGGAGTAATTATTCTGATGGGAGAGTGCTCTCCCATCGGCATAGCATGTCTTCACCAGACGCGCTACAGCTAGGCAGCTGCGCCAATGAAGCGCTATAAGTGCATGTGGTAACTGACCTTAGATTTTGCCCTGTGTTTTCCAGAGCTACTCACATAAGTTAAGTGTTTTTAAATAAAAGTATTTTTCAATCTATTTTTGTCTCCTTTGCTGCTCTGGGTATTGGACTTTTTTTTAAAATAAAGATCCTCAATATACTCTGCATCTGATGAAGTGGGTTCTAGCCCACGAAAGCTTACGCCCAAATAAATTTGTTAGTCTCTAAGGTGCCACAAGGAGTCCTCATTGTTTTTGTGATTTAAATGTAAACTATCCATAAGAAAGTACTTGAATCCATGTAAACATCAATCACGCTCTACTGCTAACAATATGACATTCAAAATATGCTGGTCTTGTAACCATTTATAATAGGACTTAAACCCTAAATCAATATATTGAATATTCAGTGTCCAAGGCCTGGTCTGCACTGGGGGGCGGGGGAAATCGATCTAAGTTACTCAACTTCAGCTACGTGAGTAATATAGCTGAAGTCGACATACTTAGATCTACTCATTGCGGTAAGTCGATGGCTGACGATCTCCTGTTGACTCCGTCTCTCGCCCTGGTGGAGTACTGGAGTCGACGGGAGAGTGCTCGGCAATCGATAAATCAACCCCCGCTGGATTGCCCGTTGATCCAGCGGGTAATGTAGACAAGCCCCAAATAAGTGTTCAGACAGAGAGAGTACAGTAGATAGGATGCTCTTTATTTTTGGAAATTGGACATTCTTTTCAATTATTCACAATGCAATGGTTTGTCAACATACTGTCAGCTCATTGAGTAAGCATCTAATCAGGAATAATCATACTGCCCAGCGAAGCTAATGAAAGCTTATTTCCTCTGAATGGTTTGGATTCACAGGTACATTTCAAGATTCAAGTTAACATGACAGTTAAAACACAGTTCTCAAACATTTTCACATGCTTATATTTGAAGGAAATACATCATTACTTAATTGTATTGCAATAGCTCCCAAAGGCACCATTCAAACTATACAAGATACATTATGGAAGGCTTTAGAGTTTGAGGCATTAACATTTTTATAAATCAGATGAAGAACAAGTGGCTCAGATTTTCTACATGTGCCCAACCAATGGGTGTTCACTAGTTGTAACCACACATGCACAAGTCCCATATTCATGAGTGCAAACTGGACCTGCACAAAGATATGTGCACACGTTTGAAAATGTGGACCTTCAGGTACGGAATAGTATATTTTATTACATTAAAAACCTCTAACTCAGTGGCAAATAAAACTGCCAATAAACTGTACTTGTATCCTGTTCTGGATTTAACACCACGAGCACTGTCAAACTGTTATTATTTGAATGGGATGGATTCATCTCTTGATTCTTCTCACAGTTTTCAGCACTGGCTAATAATTAGTAGTAGAAGGATGGTCTTATGGATATGCGTAAGACTAGGTGTCAGGAGACTTGGGTTCTATTTCTGACTCTGCCACAAGCTTCCTGTGTGACCTTAGACAAGTCACTTAATTGCTCCGTTCCTCAGTCTCCTCATCTATACAATAGGGGTAATAATACTAGCTTACCTCACAGGGTGTTGTGAGGCTTAATTCACGAATGTTAGTAAATTGCTTTGAGTTCCTTCAATTAAAGGGGTTATATGTAAGTGTAAAGTACTATTAGTAGTGAAGCCATTCTACTAATTACTCACATACCAATATAAATGGTAAATAAGAACCATGATAGAATGAAAGACCCACTTTCCCTTCTTACCCATCAAAACACTCAGGAGAAATAACATACCTAACAAACTCATCCGCTGTTCAATTGGAAGAAGCTACATCCCCTCCAATTCCAAAATGTCTGGCTAGAAGATAGATTCCACAAAAATTGTCTCCTCAGTGCACTGTACCATTTCTATTGCACAAAGATGAAACTTCACAGAGAGGGAGAACAGAAATTATATATAAAAGATGCAACAAAAAGGTAAAGTGCAGGGTGAGTCTTTGTTGAGATAACACTGTAATATAGAAAATAAAATCCACACATTGTGAAACCAGCTTTCACAATTGAGGCTTTTGTTGGCATTTTCACTAGAATGAGCAAGGAGGTAATGGATATGGAGTGACAGGGAAAATGAATTAGCTTCTCAGAATAGGCTGAGGGATATTGGCAGAGCTGTCTGTATAACCACTGTCCATGCTTTACCCATTCAGTGGATAGACAGAGGACCTTCAGTCTCCATCGCTATCCATCCAACCTTGTACCGAGCACTAAAGGGACCTAAAAACCACACATCCAATATATTTACATCATAAGGTCCTAACATGTGGTTGGAAGGCACCAGTCTTATTGAGCCAAGATTAATAGTCATAAATGTACAAGACATCCTTCCTCTACTTCAGTGGAAGAGCTGCATGTGGGGTGGCTGCAGAACAGAACCATAATGAGGCAAAGAGTAAAAGTAACTGAGTAAAGGAACTAACTAGCATGTTATGCTTTTCCTACACCAAGCTTGTGCTATGGCAACTGCATGAAATTGGTGCCTGAACAGAATTTAAAAGACATCAGAATTTGTTTTACATTAATACAGTCTGAGTATTGTATATACTGCTGCCGGTGTTGCAGTACAATGCCAATGAAATCTGTGCCTAATAGAAATAATTTTCAATTAAAAAAAACCCTTCTCTCTCTTCTGTGATATAGACATGTGCCAACTTCCAGAATTTGCTGAAGCAAACTGGGACTATGACTGACATTAAAGCCCTGTCTAGTACAGAGAAAACATCTTATAATGGTTGATATTTTTTGCTTAAGAAATTTTTGAAAACTGATCTTTTTTGGAAAACTTTCTGACAAATTTGTCAACATTATCAAAATTTTCTATTTTGTGTGAAAAAAAACTTTCTGCAACATTTTTAATTGCTATTTTTATCAAAATTGTTTTCAAAATTATTGATATTTTTCTTTTACAGAAAACCCAGTTTTCAGTAAGACAACATGGCTTTCAATAAATAAAAAATTGGTAAAAAGTTTGATAAAATATTGATTAAAATAGCAATACTAAAAGTCACAGAGTTTTTGTCAAAACCAGTAAATGGGTTCATTTAAAACTCCACAAAACAGAAATAACTTTAAAAATCTCTTCAAAATAAATTTTCCCGTTTTCCAATATTCTCTGTATAATACTGCTGTGTGAGGCAGCAAATACTATGCTACGCTATGCAGGCAGCAAATCTCACTACCCCAAAGGGGCTCAACAGAGGGTGAAAAATCCAGGAAAGTTTTAAAAGATTTTAATACTTACATTTGAATTTTATCCCCCTTCTGCCAGTTTGCTTTTTCAGTTGACAGGTAATCAGTTAGTCTGTCGGAACAAGCAAACTTATTCCCACGCATAACTTCTGAATGAAAAGACAAAAATGCCTAGCAAGCCACTTTAAAAATAAATACTGTGAAACAAAAGTTTTGTGAAGCCTTTTCCAGACTTGTTAATAAGTTACATATTTGTTTTACCCATGATGTTAACCATCTTTGTATCAGGCCCCAAATTGAATGAGACAGTAGAAAAATCATAAGGTGAACCTTCTGAATTGAGCAGGTTCAAATTTTGTGTTTGAGAATATTGCCTGAGGAGGAGTGGCCTGTTTTTCCTACACAGTTTATAGTTTTGGGTTTTTTTTAAAGACAAAAATAGTCATAGAAAATTATAATACAAGATAAAATTCACCCCCTGAACATTTAAAAAAAATTTCCAGGACAAATTATCTCCATTTTTTGTCCAGCTCTCAAGCAAGAGAAAGTCCTCTGCAAAGCTTAAGATCTGAGCCAACAACCTTTACATGAGTAGTCCCTTTGATTACACAATCAACCCCTAAATCACAAAAACAGTGTTGAACTGAACATGAATTACCTGACCTTTTGGCAGTGGATTGTAAAATACAAGCATCAGAGTTCCATGTTCCTTCATTATCTGAACTGGTTTAGACCATGTCTGTGGAAAATTACCTCCATGTTAGTTTTTATTATTAAAGAACATGCAATATATTTAAACTAATAAAGTTTCATGGATGCCTCAAACAGGGCAGATAGCTCTTCTTCGGTCTGGGGACGAGGTGATAGTTTAGTCACTCTTTCCTGAAAGAAGAAAGTAAAATTGGATTACATAAGGCTTTTTGCAAAATAAACAGTGTTGAATATACTGTAGAATGTCACACATTACTCAGCATTAATGACTGAAATCCACACTATAGATTGCACAGAATTTTGCAAACCAGCAAAGCATTTAATAAACGAAACAAGGCTAATGCATCACCAACTGTACTTTAATCAGTTATTTTAACAAAGTGTATTTTAGTTTACTTTACACACTCTCTCTCTCTAAAAGAACATTAAGGTTGTGAAGTCAAACACTCAAAAGCTAGGAAATGCCAGAAATAAAGTTGCCTTTCTAACCTTCTTCCACATATGATTAATAGATTCCAAGGCCAGAAGGGACCATTGTGATAATCTAGTCTGACCTTCTGTATAACACAGACCAGAGAACTTCCCCACAATAATCCTTTTTGAACTAGAACATATCTTTTTAAAAATAATCCAATCTTGATTTAAAAATTGCCAAATCCACCAGAAACCTTGGTAATTGTTCCAATGGTTAACTACCCTCACTGTTCAAATTTTACTCCTTATTTCTAGTCTGAATTTGTCTAGCTTCAACTTCCAGACACTGGATTTTGTTATGCCTTTATCCGCTACATTGAACAGTCCATTATTAAATATTTGTTCCTCATGTAGACTATTTACAGACTAACCAAGTCACCGCTTAACCTTCTCTTTGTTAAGCAAACTAGATGAGCTCCTGGAGTCTATTGCTAAGACATGTTTTCTAATGCTTTAAATCGTTCTTGTGGCTCTTCTTTGAACTCTCTCCAATTTATCAATAACCTTCTTGAATTGTGGACACCAGAACTGGGGATGTCAAAAGGCAAATATCTGTCATGAAGGCTGCCTGCCTGCCTGCCAGATTTCAAGCCTCTGCTCCAAAGTACAAAGAAACTAGAGCTTTCCAGAGAAAAGGTTGACAGAATTTACATGGACAAGGCCAACATTTTCCCCTTGCTTTGTTCTTGGAAATGGCTGGATCATTTTAGGTAATATTTTCCAAAAACGTTCACCTGAAGCATAACCCCAGGAAGAAAAAATTCAGCTCAAAAGTTATCCAAATTATAGGTAGAGCTGTGTGTTCAGTAACAAACCAAAAAACTAAAACCAAAAAAATTTTTTTAAAAATTGCTTCAGGTCAAAAAAGTGTTTCATTTGTGTTTTTTGTTTAAATAAAATTCAAGTAAAATTTGAAATGAAAAGCTTTCAAACCAAAATGCTTCATTTCAAAAACGTTGAAACAAAACATTTCAATTTTTGAGGAATTTTTTTGAGTTTTCTTTTCCCAACTAAAACAATCTGGCAAGTTTGACATGAAGTTGCAATATGTTTCAGTCAACCCAAATCTATATTTTTCAGTGAGAGAAAGTTCCATCTGAAACTGAAAAATTTTGCCCAGCACTATTTATAAGCAACCGAGAACATGATCTTACAATGGGAAGTGCTGGGCACCCTTAATAATAGGTGGTGCTACCTGCTGCGTGTATAATATTTAGGTATATTTTAGCATGCTGTACTACAGAGCACAAAACTTATTAAGTCCTATAATACAAAACGCCACTAGAGCATCATGCTGTTAAATATTTGCTAAGAAGGGGAGATGAGATTGCTGGTTATGTGTGGGAATTTTTAGAGAATCAGACAGGTTTTACTGTAATTTTCATAAACATTGACAACAACATTTTCAAAGTTGGATGTCTGAAGTTCAACTCCTAAATAGAAGTGACCTAATTTTAAAGTGGCCGAGCACCTGGCCTCTCAGTAACTTCAGTGGGGTTTTTTGGTGTTTGGCACTTTTGAATTTTTTTTTTTTAATGCAGGCTGTTAAATACAGAATTAGGAACTTAATTTTAGGCACCCAACTTTGAAAATTGTGGCTTCAATCCACACAATGGACGGATCAAAGTCTATGAGATACTGAGTGCCCCTAACTCCCACTGAAACCAACGGAAGTGGATTAACTCTTAGCAGAATTAGACTCTGAAAGAACGAGGATTAATTTAAATATCCACAGTGTACAGGTATGGAAGGACCAAGTAGTGAGGTTGTTTAATGAACTAACTTTCTGAAATCACATTACAAAATAGATGTTCAGGAAGAATGTCTTCCTGGATCCAGGATTCAGCAGAGCACTTAAGCATGTGCTTAAGTCCTGCTGACTTAAATGAAATTAAAAAACACATGCTTTGTGCTTTGCTGACTTGGGGCTCTAAGCCCTATAATTGGTCTTGAAAGTTCCTAGGCTATTTGAAACTATTAGCTTGTTAACTTGGGAGTTGTCCAATACTGGAACAGTGGTGTTGCAAGAGAGGACTCTGCTTTGTCGTCAGAGGCCAATGGGAAAAACAAAGTTTCTGTCATTACGCTAGCTCGTTACAATCAATATTTCTACTCTCTCACATTCAACAGCTTCATGAGATTTCCTCCCAGGTTATGCAGAGAAAGGTACAGTATGGCGCAGGGGTCTCAAACACGCGGGTTCCTGTGGCTCGCAACGACACCCAGAATTTGTAAAATAATTAATCATGCAAATAGGGCTCGATACCGTACACGAATGTCATACGTCACTGATCATTCTAAAAATGAAACAGATAAACTTTCAGACAGCCAGGGACCGATTCTTAGCAAAAATACTGTGAACAATGGCTTGTAACAACGAATTTATGCACATAACATTAACTGAAAATGATGTTCCAGGTGCAAAACTGACATTCTTTAATGGAAAAGCACTTTAAAATCCAGCTGAAAAAATGGTTGCAGTGTCGGGAATTGAAGCATATTGGGAATAAGAAGGAACTTGTTGAAAGGTAATGTACATCGGCATCATTGTTGTTTACATAATGTCAAGATTGTTGAATGGGGAAAAAATCAATGAGGATTATTGTTTATGATGGAATTTATTTACTGCTAATATTTGTTATTAAAAATATTCATTGTCGAGTGCGATTCTTGTATAATATTATACAAGTACAGTGAAAAGGCCACTGCACTACAAGAATTGTTGTCCGAAAAACATGGCGGACAGCGCGTTGCATCATGGTCACAATTTACCTGTAAATCTATACACCTCTACCCCGATATAACACAACCCAATATAACATGAATTCGGATATAACGCGATAAAGCAGCGCTCTGGTGGGGGGGGGCGGGGCTGCGCGCTCGGGTGGATCAAAGCAAGTTCGATATAACGCTGTTTCACCTATAATGCGGTAAGATTTTTTTGGCTCCCAAGGACAGCGTTATATCGGGGTAGAGGTGTATTTAGAACAGTCCACGTACGATATCAAGCCCTATTTTTAAGTGTGTTTACTTACTTACTCTTTGTCTTTCTGATGATACCGCCATCTTGAACGGAAGTAATTCTAAAAGTAAATGCGTGTTTTGTCGTTTGAGTGAGGTGCATTACTGAGTGTTTATATTTTATTAAAACCCCTCTGAAATTACTTCAGTGTCAAAAAAAACACTCATGGAAGAAAAAGTTTTCCAAGACAAATGGGAGAATTCTTATTTTTTCACAGAGATAAAAGATAAAATTCAATGCCTTATTTGTCAGCAAACGATTGCTGTTCCCAAGGAGTATAACGTGCGTCGGCACTACGACACGATGCACCGTGAAAAATATGATGCGTTCACCGGAAAAATCCGAGAGGAAAAAGTTCGGCAACTTAAAGCAGCATTTGCCAAGCAAAGAAATTTCTTTTCGGAGATTAACAAGTCTAGCGAAGATTCATTAAAAACAAGTTTTGTGATAAGCGAAATAACTAAATCATTGCGACCTTTTACAGAAGGCCTATTCTTAAAAGAATGTCTTGTGAAGGCCAGTGAAATTTTATGTCGTGATAGGAAGAAAGTTTTTCAAGGCATAAGCTTGTCTGCCAATACAGTTGCCTGCAGGATAACGGATTTAGCAGATAATGCGCAGAAACAATGGATTCAAATGGCAAAAGACTTCGAAGCATTTTCAATTGCTCTTGATGAGAGTACAGATGCATCAGATACTGCACTGTGTGCAGTGTTCATTAGAGGTGTAGATTGTAATTTGAATATAACTGAAGAATTGCTAGACTTAACGCCACTGAAGGGTATCACAACGGGACAAAAAAGCCAGAGCCGGCCCTGGATGTATGACAGTATTAAGTCATTCAAAGTCAAGCTTACTTTGTGGGGGAAAACAGCTGACTGCTGGCAATTTGGTCCATTTCTCAAGTCTGAATTCCTTAGGAAAAGTTGAACCCAAATCCTTGAAAGAATATGCAGATATCATTTCTAACTTGCACAAACAGTTTGATGTGCGGTTTAAAGATTTCAAGGCACTTGAACCACATTTTCAACTTTTTTCCACACCATTTGCTGTGGAAATTGACAATGTTGCAGAGGAAATGCAGATGGAGTTAGTGGAGCTTCAGCGTGATACCATTTTGAAGCAGATGTATACAGATGTTGGAATTCCAGAATTCTACCGGTTTCTTTCACAAGAAAGATTTCCTATGTTATTCTCTGCTTCCGCAAGGGTAATGGCAAATGTTTGCAAGTACATATATATGTGAACAGTTTTTCTCTTCCATGAAGATTAACAAATCCGTGTTAAGGTCAAGGCTCACTGATGAATATTTGCAAGCAACACTGAGATTGGTTTCATCTCAGGATATCAAACCTAATATGGATGCTCTGGTTCATGCAAAACACTGTCAGCTAAGTGGCCAAAAATGAAATGTCTGTCAAAATTAGCATTGACTTTTCACATTACAGTTTTAAAAAAGTTAATACATTGACTTTTAATAGCATACTATATTACTCTTCATTTTTTTCATTTTTGACTATACTTATGTATCGTTGTATGAAAAGGTTTCAGTGATGTGGCCCTAGGGCCAATGTACTAGTCCTCATGTGGCCCTCATAGCGATTTGAGTTTGAGATCCCTGGTATAGAGAAAAAGCTAACACGCGTTACAGCGTTAAAAAAAGGCTTCGCATTACTTAGGACAAAAACTAAGGTTCTACCTAGGCTTACCACTAGTTTAACACTAAAAAAAGTTAGTTATTTATGGTGCTCAATGGTGTCATCAGGCCAATTTTCCTGCCCGTCAGTGGAGCGCACAGATGGGCTAAGAACACCTGTCCAAGCAGATGATGGGAGACATGACAACTGTAAAGGGCCACAATGTTCCCAATGGCTCTGGATGGAGTGCAATGAATAGATGCAGCTTGCATCCCCTTAACACAGCCCTGGTGATATCGCCAGTACACAGAGAATGGAACTGTGGCTCTGCCTCTCTGAACTGGTAAATTCTTGTGCCAGGGCTAGTCATCCACACCCCTGGTGCTCATCAGTGGTTGCAGCCAAATTATAGCTGCCTCTTGTATGTTTACATGGAGGCGAGGTGGGGCTAGCAAATAGGCCCTTCTGACCTCTCCTTTCAAATCCACCCTTCCCGCCCCCCAACCAGAACACCCACACAGGACCAGCCGTTATTTGGCCCATGGAACATAAACTTCTTCTCCAGACTTCCTTGCTGTGTTATAAGCAGGATCATTTCCAACAGGTTTTCTCAAAAATGAGCTATTTCAAGTGTAAACATTATGCTCCAAGGTTTCAAACCTCCAAACTGGCTGACTAAAACCTGTTAATCATTTTATTTCTCTGCAGCATGCATTTTATGGTGGTAGTACACTTGGCAGTGTTTGTTTATTTGTGGTTTCAATCTGGACCAAGGTGTTTTGCGAATATTAATAGGTGGTGTTGGTGTTCCAAAGAAAACTGATGGCTGGATCAAAAGAAAAAATATCAAAGAGTTAACTGTTTGAAATCCCCTTGTAGGTAACGTATTACACAGGCAGTAGCAAATGAATTTGGACCACATTATACTTTGTATACTAAATCAGGGTTTGAAAACACATTAGCTCGCCTCGTTATATATGCAATCACTAATTACTGCTGCAGTAAAAGGACAGTAAATTAAGATGGGCTTCTGAATTAATAATCAGTTACAGATGAGAAAAAAAAAACTAAGCCACAGGTGAACCTCAGCAAAGCAACAAAAAAAAAATATACTTCCTTGGGATGTTGTGTTTATAATGATCTGTAAAAAGTAATATTTTAAAGGACCAACATATTTATCAACACAAACTGTCAAAATGTCCTGTCACACACATTTAGCAGGGCATCAGATCGGGAGCAAGAGACCTCGGTTTTATTGCAAATTTTGCCACTAATCAGTTTGACACCTTGATCAAGTCACTTCCTCTCCTGTAAAATGGGAATGAGGACATCTTTTGTAACAGGCTTTGAGGTTTATAGATGTTATAAGAAAGTGAAAATTTTTAATTTTTTTCAGCATGACAAATCTTCAGAATATGTCCTCATTTACTTGGGAATTAATGAATTTTCCTCTAATTTCAGTCCATCTTACTTGAAATGTTTTTTGAGAGTATAAAAATGTAAAGGGTATTAAAAGTGTAAACTGTTTCATTCCAGGAGGACATTAGTTCAAATTCAGATGGAGGGCAGTGGAACAAAGCCATCTAGAAGAGTATTGAAACTCCTTGGTAGGGAAAATCTAATGCAAAGCAAGTTTAATCATTCTTAGCACATAGCAGTCTTATAAAAGCATCAGATAGAAACTTACTTGCCTGTATAATTAGAACAGCTAGATAAAAAAATGGGAACATTTTTCACAAAAAATTCTGCAAAAACATGTTCCTTTTCCCACCTGAAAAAATGTGCATGTTGGATTATTTGACTAGCTCTAATAATTATCCTTTCCTTTTGAAGATGAATGAATGATAGATGAAGACCAAACAACACACACACACACACTATCTCACTGCAAAGAAAACCCAATCTGTACTAGGAGAAGAGAACTGACTTTATCATTCTCTCCATTTAAAATTGCTAAATGGAACATTTATTTTAAAAGAAAATATTTTAAAAGTTTGCTTTTTAGGAAAAATCACCTGTGTTTTCTGTCTTACCTGAGGGAGAGTGCCTTTCACTAAAGCAGGGATATCGGCTTTAGAATAACCAATTGCAGCTAAGCCATCATCAACATTCAGATCAAATAAGAATTTCCGGAGCGTGTCTGCCAAAATAAGCCCAGCATCTTTGATTTTGGCAGTGCGGATGTCAGCTCCTAAAATAAGACAAAGCCTTGACTGTAGGGTGGAGAAAGAGGAGGAAGCTGTTCTGGATTTAATTTAATCATAATAGCAGCGGCATATATCCACATATAACAGCCTACTTGCTAAAGGCAACCCCAAATAAAAAAGGGGAATCTCTATCTTCATTTTGCAGTTAGACTAGTTTGTAGAGATGGAATAAAACAAAATCAGGAGAAGCAAGTTCACTGCTGCTAGAAAGACTAACTGCCTTGTCAAGTTAACTTCCTCTCCCACTGTACTTGCCTGGAAAAGCACTTCTCAGTCAGACTAATTGCTGGAAGCAGTGGTGGAAAGGAAGTTAAACCAGATCAGTGTCAGTGGATAGCCATAATATTTATTTTTAGGGACAAAGTGCCATATACTCATTTTTTCAAAGCCTTGAGTTTGCTGACATCTAGAGGATGTGCGAACCAATGACTAATGATTCCCTCCCCCTTCTCAATTTTATGTTGACAAGCATTCAAACGGGGGTGGGGGGGGCACGGATGGAAGGAAGGCGGCTCTATGGGTGGAGCTACCTCGGGTGTTTGGATAATATATTAGTTAGTATGATATAATATAGATTAGAATAAATAGGTAGATTAGATAGAAGATGAGGAATTACAGTCCTAGAAACAGCTATGAAAAGGAGGTGAAAGTCAACATTTATGGAAAAGCTACAGATGTTTCTTATAAAAAGGCTATTCCCCCTCCCTCCCTGGGTGTCCATAGCTCCGTTAGAAATGGGAAAGATGTACATGCATAAAGGCAAGAAAAACACCCCAAGTTTTATTTTTAACCATTTGGGCCAAATTCATTCCTAGTGTAAATCCAATTAAGTCAATGGAGTTATACCAGAACTGAACTTGACTCATGCAGTTTACTGAAAAATGAGTAAATGTGAAATATAACTACAGGAAAATGCACTCTGGTTCTCTAAGAACTCAGTGCAACAGTCAAAACAGTTTAAAGCTAATGGGAGGACAACAAACTCATTTCAGGGGGCTTAGATGTTTGGATAGTAAAGTAGCAAGATGGCAGTGGCTATAAGGGATTAGGTGATGAAGCATGATGGAGTCTCATATGAAGTTTCATGCTACTGGAATTATTGCCACGCAGTCAATGGCCATTCTCTGTGTTGCAGTATAAAGGGCAGTTAGAATATAAGGGCTTCAGGAATGATCAGATAGTAGCAAAAGAGAAGGAAAGGAAAGAAAAGAATGAAGAAGAGAAGAGGAGGTCTGAAAAGCCAGACTAAAAAGGTGATGAAAAACACCCCAAATGTTATTGTTCCAGGGACCAGTCTTTTGCTAACCTAAAGAATGCATCACTCTTCAGGCTGCACTTATATTTCCTTTACTGCAATAAATCTATGGCCACACACCCCTATTTCCATCAGGAGAGGCATTAAGCTTTTATTTGGCTGTACTCAAATCTGCAGCTGCACATATACATAAACATGGCTGTTTGTTACTACTTTACCGCTAGGCATGGTGTTTGGCAACCTAACATATTTGAATCAGCTACTGCAGTCACTTGGACACTGAATTATGGTCCCAAAGTAAATACCCAAGATGAGAATCAACAAGTTCACTTATACACACTTCATTCATTTTATACAGAATCCTTTATATAACAGCAAAACAGACAGTAACCAGTTGAATTTCCATTGAGGAAGTCAAATGTAACTAAGAATTGCAATGCCAGATACTCTGAGCTGGCCATATAAGATACATATTTTTAGTATTTTCTCAGCCAATGTATAAGACAGAGTATTACCATTTGAATAAAGGTTATTACTGAAGGGCTTCTTGTAGGGATGTAGGAATTGCTATATATATTCAGACGATTATAAGAAACCCCATATCCAGCAATTACAGAATCATCTGCCAATAGGGGAAGATTCTTTCTAACTCCATGTTCTGAAGCAGAAGTGTCTAAATCCCTTCTAATGTTGTATATGTCCTTTTTAAAGTAAGTATAGACATTCTCACAATCCATCTAAAGGTCTAATCTTTTCTTGAAACCTACCAAGCTCTTAGTCTCTGGATATTTTGTAGCAATGAGTTGTACAGAATTAATTATCCACTGTGAAGGAAAATATTTCCTCTTTCAACATGTTTCCTGCTTGCAAGTGTTTAATTGTATTTGTTTTATAATCACTTCCTTTTAGCTAATGCAGATGTAAGTGCACTTAAAGCTCCCTATGCTTTATGCTATCTACTCCTAAGTGTCTTCCCTTCATACACACCAGAGACATCAGTCATATGCTAAATGAAATCAAGCTAATCTTCATTTCATACATGAGTTGTTTTCAATTTGAAAGTTTTCCAGTTAGAAAGAAGATTTCTAGGGTCAGCTCCTCTGCTGTCATGTGCCACATTACTAGCAGATCCTGCCTGTGAGCCAGCATACCCAGCTGCAGGATGATCACCCCAGAGCAAAGATGGAACAGGTGGGAGTACAGAGCTAGAGCAGACGTTCTTATATGACCTAACTTTCCAGCATAAGAGGAGTGGCCAGGGGAAAGGGGAGCATGGCTGGGATGTCCTTATGCTACACCACTTCCTCACTATAGTTTTGGCTCCTTGGAGTGTAAGTTGCAGTCTAAAATGACAGAGGATGAAACCTAAAGGCTCCTTTAACTTCTGCCTGGAGACCCATGGATCCAGGATTGGGGGAAGTGACAAAGGTGAGCTTTACCCCATCTTCACACAAACTATCCCCCCCTTGTGCTGTGCCCAGCCAGACTCCAGAATCTAGCCCTAATTTTTAGATTCTGAACGATCACAACCCACTTTTTTATTCTTTATATACCGAGATTTCTCCCCCCCCCCCCAAAAGCTAGTTTTGAAAGAACTTTGTGACACATGGCTAGAAAGGGTTAAACATCCTGCAAAATAAATAACCCTCAAAAGATATGTGGAAAGATAATGTTTGTGTTTTTCTGTTTTTACATATATATGAGTAGGGTCAAGGATGTTATCAACTGTCCCTGTCTATGCTGTATTCTGATAATTCAGAGATCAGAAGAACATCCTAGCATTTAAATGAATTGTAAACATGGGATATCTCTGTATTCATCTCTCTTTGAGATGTATAGCAAATAATCTGTGAATGGTAGAGGAACAAGCAAATTGCCTTATGTTAATTCTATAGTTAAGTACCGGTGATGGACCGCCTTCAAAGTCATCCTAATTTGCCTTTGAACTCCAACTTCTCAAAAAGGACATGAAATTGGACAAAAGATCCTTGGGTCCTGATTCTATTATCTCAGATCTGCTTAGGCTTCATCAGGGGAAGTTTGAGTCGCAAGACTGAGGTCACAGTTATGCTGGTACGTCCTGAATATGATGTTTGGACATTGGACTATAGCCTATGAACTATATCTAAAATAACTCTTTGCAACTACAAAGCTCATCATCTCTGATATAAATCTGCACCTAAATGAACTGAACTCATATCTTTTAACCATTCTCTCTCTCTCTCTTTTGTTTTTTAATAAAGTTTAGTTTAGTTAAGAAGAATTGGCTGTAGTGTGTATTTGGGTAAGATCTGGAATATTCAATAACCTGGGAGGTAATGTGCCTGTTCCTTTTCTTTTATGTGATGAAATAAGATTTTCAGGAATCTTCATCATATTTGACTTAGGTACCTGGATGGAGGCCTGAGGCTGGATCACTTTAAGGGAACTGTGTTGTTTGGACTTCTGAGTAACTAGTAAGGTAATAAAGAAGCTATTTTATGCTGATTTGGTAAATCTAAGTATTGGAATATCCACCAGCTTTTTGGGGTTTGGCTGCTCCATTCTTTGCAGTTCACCCTAATTGAGTGATCGTATTACTCCATTGGGACCCCGGTCACAAACTTGATTTGTACCAGTAGGTTTTATGAAGAGAGATTCATACCTAGTATCTCTGCAGCCTCCAAGTGCCGTTCGGGGCACATCTCTGCTGTGAAAGTAAATACTGCGGGGGAGGTGAGTACCACAGAAAGACCATGTGGCTGAAGAAAAACAAAACACAGTGCACATTAGACAGACTTCTCACTGCTGCCACAATAAATTTGTTAGGCTAACATAATTTAAAGCTTGTTAATGTAAGATAAGTACAAGAGCTAGGAATATGTAAGAAAATGAAAATAATCAGTTCTTACCACCAGAGGATGATCGACATTATAATCCTTTGCTTTGTAACTCTTCACCAAACCAGAAATAGGGTAAGACATTCCATGGCTGGAGAAGAAAGAAAGTGGTCAGGGAACTAGCCTGGGACCCGGGAGACCTCAGTTCAATTCCTTGCTCTGTAACACTTCCTGTGTGACCTTGGACAAGTCACTGAGGGGCAGAATTTTAAATGTATTTAGGAGCCTAAGTCCCACTGAAGCCAATCGGAACACTTCAAAAATCTTGCCCTTAGTTGCTCTGTCTCTTAGGTCCTGATCTATAAACTGGAGATCACAGCACTTCTCTAGCTCACACATTAAAAGATCATGAGGTGTTCAGATACTGGGATAATGGGGTCGGCTCAAAGTACCTTAAACATTTTTCACCTTACTATCAAAATCTGGGAGTTTCTTATCATGCTAACAGTGCTTAAGGGAAAGTTTTGGAAGTTTATTTACAAAGGGGATTTTACTTGATCAAACCAAAGGAGTGCAGAGACAAGTTCGGAATAGATTAATATTTATAAGGAGTTGCAATGATTTTTTGTAGAATTTTGGGTTTAGGCCTTGATTCAACACATTAAGCCCATACGTAATTATAAGCATGGGAGTGGTGCCACTGACTTCAGTGGGAACATTCATTTGTACTTTAATGAACTGAAGACGTGACCGTCATTAGCTCATTTGGATGGGCATTAACATTTCTGTGGATATAATTAAAGAGCTTTAAGTAATTATAGCTCATTTTATCCTGCAAAACAATTAACCCAGTAACAAGTTTTATTGCATGTGGCCTTCATTCAGGAAAGGCAGAAGATTTTGCCTCTGGGTATGTTCACTAGCTTGCTATTATAGGGGTGTTATTGGTGTTTATTACAGGGCTGCACAACTGAGAGAGTTAAACGTGTTATTTATTTTTAGAAGAGTGAACACTGACATTTGATTTTTGTTTTTATAAAAAAGAAAAACATTATGCAACCTGTGCCTACAAGCAAGGTAAAGTAGGTCAAATTTTGGTCCTAGAAACTTTCATAAGACTGGACTGCGTTATCCTTATGAATAGCAAGAAGTACCTTACGCCACAAAAGGGTCCTATCAACTTCAGTAGGAATACTCATGACATAAAGTACTCTTTCATGTGAAGAAGGGTATGACAATCTGGCCCAAAGCATCTTATCACATCACTAGTTCAGGGACTGCTTGTCTGAAAGCTTCCTACACAATTTGAAACAAACACTAAAGAAACAGGGTTTTAGAAAGGGGCTGACACACGTCCTCTACTCACCAAAGATGAACACCAGCATTGCCAAAGCCGATGCCAGCAAAAGCACTTGCTAGGTGCATGTTAGCCCTTGCTTCATGATCATCTGGCATTCTGACAGCTCTGTGCACAAACATTGAACACTAAGAAATCCACACCTGCATTGACACACTCAGGAGAGGGGAAAACACTCATCTGGGGTAATACAATCGGAACTAAAATAAAAATGGAAAAAGAGCTGGGCAAAGGATCAGATAGAAAGATAATCAAAGAGAAAGAGTCTGTTTACACGAAACTGCTTCAGTAAAGGCAAAACTCACCCTTCACTGTACAGCAGTTGTGTAAATGGGATTGTAGTAGGGTGGCTGCCCCACTCCAGGAGAGCAGGGGTTAAAAGCAGCCCTTGGAGAGGGATGTGGCTGCGACCCAATTAGAAAAGGGGTGAAGAGCTGCCACAGCTGTGGCCACACCCAATCAGGCCACAGCTGGCCCTGATATAAGGGCCAAGGTAGGAGCTGGGTCAGTTTAGAAACTGGAATTACGGCCACTGTTCCTTCCCTTCCCCTGTGTAGGGGTTCCTGCCTACTAGCATAAGTGCAGATCCCAGACCTCCCCCAGCATCATCTGATTTGGTACTGGCATGGAGCCCGCCTTCAGAGCTTCAGAGGTTTTGGCCACTCTCCTGCCTCACACCCAGGTCTGCTTCAGGACTTTGATGATACAGAAAGACTCTCATGGGCAAATTCCACCCTAAAGGTATAATAAATAGGAAGTCAGCATAACTATGTGCTATAAAAGCCTTTTAGATGGAAAAGTGTTGATCCTCAGATTATAAAAAACAGAACAGCTGAAAGTTACTCACAGGCTAGATCATCTCCCACTGAAGTCAACAAAAGCCTCTCCATTTGGGCTGTACCCTAAATGAGCTACTTGCAAACAAACATATAATTTTAAACACCTCACAGGTGAATGTTTACTTGATGTACTTGCATAGTATTTTATATAAATGTCCTTTCACTATACTGAAAGCCATATAGACAGATGATAGCAGTACTTATGTGTCATCTTATAATGTGTTCTGCCTAAGGTTGTTCTGGAAAGGTGAATATTAAGAGGTACATTGCTCTAGGATTTAGCTGTGCAACTCATGACTATACATCGGGGATTCTCAACTAAATCCTCATGCATTGCTTTAAAAAGTCACCCCTGAAAATCAACTTTGTTCAGCCTAACCTAGTTCCAATTTTATTGGGCATTTTCTGCCTTGCTAAGAACAAAGCCAGGGTCTAGGATAGAAAATGATGTCCTAAAATAGCGATTCACCTCATCTCCAGGTATGTCTACACAGCAAAGAAAAACCCGTGGCTGGCCCAAGCCAGCTGACTTGTATTTGCAGGGCTTAGGCTGCAGGGCTATTTCATTGTGTAGACTTCCAGGCTTGGGCTGCAACCCGAGCTCTGGGACTAGAAGGTTCTAGAGCTCGGGCTCCAGCTGAGCCCAGATGTCCACACAACAGTGAAATAGCCCAGTACCCCGAAATTCCAAGTCAGCTGGCACAAGCCAGCCGTGGGTTTTTCTTTGCTGTGTAGATGTACCCTCAGAGTCTAGCACTCAGGTCCTCACCAGCATTCTTCCTGCCAGGTGTTCAGGATCAAACCTATCATCAAGGTGAAAGGTTGCTAGGCATACATTACCTTTTCAAATACTTTGCCACAAGGTGCAGTGCGTGGACAGCCCAGACATCACTGATAGGGTTGCTGCCTTGGTAAGCAGGCCGGTTGATTGGATTTGAAGGGCAGGGACTGCGCATCTTGTAAGGAAGAGCAGTGTACGCTTCTAGTGCGTGGCTAAAAGGAAGAAATACTTGAAAACGGAAAGGTTCCATTTTTCTCCTATACACTGTCTGTCCTGCAAGGAATTTGGCATTTTACAAGCTCAGTTCCATTGAACAACATTGAGCTCCTGCAAAAGGGGCATTCCCTTCTTACAGGACAGTAGAGATTTAAAGACTCCAGGACTATCAACATAATAATCTACCTTCTTTTAAAGGTTGACCTTAAAAAACTGGGAGTTTGATATTCAAGAATACTGGATGGACAAGTCTCTTAGGTATGGCAGTCATGAAACATAAGCATTATTTACATTTTTAACCAATAGAAAAGCATTTAAAGCCAAACCATTTAGAGCTTAAAAATAAATAACTAAACTCCATTAAAAATAATGAATTTTTCCAGACACTATAGTCAGCTAATAGTTTGAGAAATACCACAACTATAACTTTCAATACATTTGTCATCCTATTTTAACATCTATTTCCTTAAGGTGTCTCTGCATAAACAAGCAGCTGTATCAATGAATCCAATCTTCTGCATATCTTATGCAGTTAAAATCCTTAATCTATGATTGTTCCAATGTGTCTTTCAAAACTTTGAAGGACTTTTGTGCTAAGCAACGTACTAAAAGCACTGGTTTGGAGCAGCTATAATGCAAACTGGGCCAGTCTTGTGAGTTGAGGGAGATTGAGACCTTGTCTGCAGCGCTCAGCACCTCACAGACTTCCACAGAAAGCTTTGTCAATGCGCTTCAGTCCTGACCGCTAAAGTCCCTGCTATTCTAGTCTCTGCTCATGAGAAGCAGATGACTGTCAGACAGCCTAAATTAGGTTTGCCATGTGTTGCTTGTGCTCCAGCAAAGCATTTAAACCTTCAAAGCTGGCCTCAAGGATTCACACTTCCGATAGTTGGTATTTTGGTCCATGCATCCAATGTACATTTCATCTTATACAACTGAGTGAGGCACTTGGATTTGTTTCAAAGGGTGAGAAGGACTGAGGGGAATGGTGCATTGAAGAAACAGGAAGGTGGGACTGAGACAGACTGAAAATGGACATGTTAGGGAAAATGGTCCTTTTTCTCCCTCTAAAGTACCGTATTTGTTCTTCTAAGTTAAAATGACTCCTCCCCGCAAATCCAGCACCCCACATAGACTACTTACCAAAGCACATCAAAGCCACTGTTGGCCACTACTCGCTCTGGCATATGGATTGTATGCAAAGGATCAATCATACCCAATGTGGGCTTAATGGCTCTAGAAGCAATGCCTAAAACATGTGAATTATAAAAGTGTGTTAATAAAAAGGATTGTTGTCAATAAACAACACAGAAGAGAGAAAGTCTTAATCCTCAAATTGTAAAAGAAAAGTTAAAGTCTCAGGACAAGTGATTGCCATTAATAATAAGAGAAGGAAAGGGAGAGCCTGAAATGCATATGCATCTAAATTCTATTGAGAAAACTGACCAAGATTCTGCAAAAATATTCACTTTGTCAGTCTTAAAGACAATCTTTCTGGGGGTCTGAATTACTCAGGTAATGGGACAGGTTTTTCACCTCTAAATCAACTATTCAAATCCATCTTAGGAAGGTCAGTTGCCGAAGGGCGTTACTAAACGCTGGCTGATGAAGACCTTAAAGTGAAATGAGCTTATGCTCTTCATCTTGTCCCAGGTTTCTACATCCCAAAAAGTGCACTCTCACTGGCAGACTCAGCAGAAAGAGTGAAGATACAAAGACTGAATGGACACAGAAATTGAATTATCCACTCAGCCCTACAGTGATCCATATTTTCCATCCCAGCATAGGAGAAGAAGGAGACTGTCAACCAGCAGAAACAGAAATTGATTCCTTCCAAACTAAGAAGTCAGACTTGGTGGAAAATAATTCAGATGCTGATTTACCAATCGTTTCTGCACACCTGTACAGGGATTGTGTCCAGTTTTGGGCCCCACACTACAAGGAGGATGTGGAAAAATTGGAAAGAGTCCAGCAGAGGGCAACAAAAATGATTAGGGGGCTGGAGCACATGACTTATGAGGAGAGGCTGAGGGAACTGGGATTGTTTAGTCTGTTGAAGAGAAGAACGAGGGGGGATTTGATAGCTGCTTTCAACTACCTGAAAGGGGGTTCCAAAGAGGATGGATCTAGACCAGGGGTCGGCAACCTTTCAGAAGTGGTGTGCCGAGTCTTCATTTATTCACTCTAATTTAAGGGTTCGTGTGCCGGTAATACATTTCAACATTTTTAGAAGGTCTCTTTCTATAAATCTATAATATATAACTAAACTATTGTTGTATGGAAAGTAAATAAGGTTTTTAAAATGTTCAAGAAGCTTCATTTAAAATTAAATTAAAATGCAGAGCCCTCCGGACTGGTGGCCAGGACCCGGGCAGTGTGAGTGCCACTGAAAATCAGCTCGCGTGCCGCCTTCGGCACTCATGCCATAGGTTGCCTACCCCTGATCTAGACTGTTCTCAGTGGTACCAGATGACAGAACAAGGAGTAATGGTCTCAAGTTGCAGTGGGGGAAGTTTAGGTTGGATATTAGGAAAAACGTTTTGATTAGGAGGGTGGTGAAGCACTGGAATGGGTTACCTAGGGAGGTGGTGGAATCTCCTTCCTTAGAGGTTTTTAAGGTCAGGCTTGACAAAGCCCTGGCTGGGATGATTTAGTTGGGAATTGGTCCTGCTTTGAGCAGGGGGTTGGACTAGATGGCCTCCTGAGGTCCCTTCCAACCCTGATATTCTATGATTTCAGGTCTCAAACCCGGGTCCGCAGCCAACACCCAGCAGCTCACTGCTATCAGCAAAGATTGTGGGCTGATGGATTCTAGCTCACCAGAGACACTACCCACAAAGCTCCTGATTGGAGGAGACATCTGTCCTCTATGATTAGCTCAAACTCACTATTTAATCCAGACAGAAGCCCAAGATGTTGTTTGAGTAACTAAGTGAATCCCTGGCTGACTTCTACATCGGACCCTGTCCTCCCACCTGAATCCTGACCCCTGCCTTGTTCCTGCCCTCCTGACTTTCCAGATCTCTGCTTCTGTGCCCCATCCCCAACTATTGACTCTGACCCTTGGCCTGACTCCTGACTGTCTTCAGCTCCAACCCCTGGCTCCCAACTCAGGCTCCAACCACTAGTCCTGACCACCACCACCACTCTAACCACTAGAGCTGACCGCCTACATCCCAGTCTTTGACAATCTGCTTATTAGAACCCGTTTACCGTCCCCAGCTAATGTGGGAACTTTGCCTTTATTTCTGATTTGTCTTATGGCTTTGGTCAGGGTTACTAGCCCCCGCAATCCAGCTGACTTTTCAAGCACAAATAAAAATCCGAGGGCACGGGATGGTTATCAACTGGAAACTTGTAGTTTTTCTATGAGCTTAAGGGGTCTGCTACACTGAAGACTAGAATGTTTCCTGCAGCATGGAGCCTGCATGAGTGGTGACTCTTGCCTGGAGTGAATTCCCCAGGGCAACCCTCTGCCTCTCAGCTGGAAACCCTCCATAATGCCCCAGCAGCTACATTGTCAAAGTGATTGTGGAATGGCCCAAGCCACACTGATCTTTAACCTAACTGCTCACAAATAAGCAGCCATCAGACAAGCAGAAGGAAAATTTGGTTCATTTTCTAGAACAAATTGATGTTTTGCTGCATTTGGTATCTGTGTCTTGATACTTTGGTGCTGGCTCTTTAGACATGCTAATAATAATACTTACATGCTTTAGACTGACTGAAATCACAACTAATCCGAGTTAAAACTCCTTAATCTGCCCTGTTGGGCCCCATATATTGCAACATACATGGTACATAAAAGCCACCCAATGTTAAAAGACCACAGCAAAATCTCAGACTAGCTATGAAGTTTAAAGATGACATTTTAGCCTTAATCCTATTTTCCAGGGATGAAAAGGTCAAAGGAAGACAGTGTCCCTTTCTTTTGCTGCATTGCAGGCATGAGGTCCCGAGAAGTCAGGAAAACAAACATTTGGACCCGATTATACAACAAAGAACTAGGGGTCTTAAAAACAGGAAAAAAAAAAAAAAAAGAGGAAATAAGGAACAGTTGGCTGAACGCAAACATAAGCAGAACTTTCCTGTGCACTTAACATATTCCACCAAAAATTTTACTTTCCCATTATGCCTTCAAATCATGAGCTGCTGTATTATATATGCATTTCATTGCTAACATGCTTTAAAATTTCATTCAAGAGAGAAAGCTTTAATCTGCTGAGATTTGTCTGTAGCTTTTGAATACAGTGACATAAGACAGCTGACATTACAGAAGGTGTTTCTTTATCTTATAGCAGAGGAAAATGATGCAAGTTTGGAAAAGAGTCTAGGTAAGTAATAGACAAAGTCTTACCAGTTTTTACTTTTAGTTCTTTGTAATCAAAAATGGCAATGCCAGTGGTTTCACTTCCAGTTCCAGCTGTCGTGGGAACTTAAAAAGAAGAACAGACAAAAAAACGTTACTCACCTGTCACCAGAGTTTTTGGAAATGGACTCTGCACGGTCACGCTCTTTGGATATGCTGACAGTGCAACTGATAGCACAATGGGAGCATCCCAGGAGTAGGCACGTGCACTCAAAGAAGATAGTATTTTAAGTTTAAACTTAGCATAAAACAAAGCACAATGTTATATAAAGAGTAGCACAGCATTTTTATCAACTTTAGAAATGGCTTTTCTAGCATAGGCGCAGTCCAGGATTATTACATATTTGTATCGTGGTAGCACCCAAAAGCCATAAAGAGTTTTGTGGCCCCATAGTGCTATGCGCTGTACAAAGGCATAGCAAGACAAGGGATGCTATGGACCCTTTAAATTACCATTAACATCTACTGCTGCGCATCCAACCTTAAACCAGGTTGTATTCATCACTGGTGGAAGCAAATGAAAATTTTGTTAATAAAAGCAGCTCTCTTCGCATTTGGAAGCTGGAACAATGATGATTTGGGCTTAACGTGCCTCGGTTTGTATATCTAAGCAGCTTTTAAACTTTACTAATCACCATTCTTTGTTAATCATCCACCTCATGGGTTTAATTGCACATGGTTTTATAAGTATGAAAGAAAGGGAGGGCTGTTTTAAATGGAAGATAATAAAGGTGGTATGAACAAAGAAATGTGTCAATTACTAAGAGATGATTCAAGGCCATTAAAGTCAACAAGAGTTTTTCCATCACTTCAATGGGTTTTGGATCAAGCCCTAAAACCAGAATGTAATAGATAATTAACTGGTTAGATAAATGTATCACCAATTATCGTATTTGGGACTAGGTAGGTCAATGCTAATAAAATGCTGATATACTGAACCCTTAAAACACACAGTGATCAAAAAAGGAAAGAAAACAGTGTCCAATTACATAAGCAATAAAATGCATTCCTTATAGCATAAGGATTATATAGTTAATAGTGGGCTGTACAGATCAGAGTATTTTATATTCCTCCCATCACGATGTACTTTGGTTTGGTATTGTATATCAGAACCAGTTAATAGATCTAGGGCCAATGGATCAGACAGAAGCAGTCATTTTATCCTTTGACCCCCCAAAAGGAGTAAAATAACTAACTCAAAGAAGAGCAGCTGGTGATGAAGAACAAGATCCCATTCCCATTTAAATCACTGGCAAAACTTCAATTAAATTCAACTGGAGCAGAAGCAGGTCCAAGGGGAGGGTTAAACGGTCAAAGGTAAACTTAATTCAAGAGGAAGACCTTACACAGAGCCTTGAAGGAAGAAAAAAACAAAACAAAAACACACCACACTTCTGCTTCTTTACCTGCAATGAATGGCTTGAGAGGCACAGTAACAGACTTTCCTTTTCCAATGGGAGCATTGACGTAATCTAAGAAATCTGATTCAGGACTGGATGAATACAGGTTGGCAGCTTTACAAGTGTCTATTACAGAACCACCGCCCACAGCAACATAGGCATCAAACTCCCCCTTTTTAGCAAATGTGATGGCATCCATGAAACTTAGAAGGAAGAGAAGATTTTGTCATTAATTATGCAATTTACAAACTTCTGCAAACACTGTTAAGCTCAATGTACATGTCATTGACACATCAGAGGCACTATGGGTACGTCTACACTGCAAAAAACAACAACGCTGCAGCAGCAAGTTTCAGAGCCCAGGTGAACTGACTCAGGCTCATGCTATGGGGCTAAAAATAGCAGTGTAAGTAGACATTCGAGTTCAGGCTGGAGCCCAGGCTCCGAGACATTCCCTTCCCTTCTCCCCAGGTTTCAGAGCCCGGGCTCCAGCCTGAGTGTCTACACTGCTATTTTTAGCCCTGCAGCATGAGCCCCCTGAGCTTCTGTCAGTGGACCTGGGCTCTGAGACTCTCTGCTGGGGGTTCTTTTTTGCAATACTGATGCACCAAAAGATACTATAGTGATGGGTATAAGAACCTAAATAGATACTTTGAGAATATAAGTTTTCGGAAGCATATATAAAAAACAAACAAACAGTACCTCTGATCCGTTGGCTCCACCCGGACATCATCATACATTTGAAAAGTGATTCTATTTTTTGTCAAGGAATTCAATACTGCTTTTACTGGAGGGAGCTGGCAGAGGTTCTTATCTGTCATCACACAAACTTTTCTAGCACCCAGATTCTGCAGGTCCTACAATATCAATTAAAAAAACAAAGTCTGAAATCTAGAACTACATTATTTAAACCCCAATCCAATTAAACTGAATTATTTGATACAAAATACAAATAATTTGCAATAAGGTCTTTCATCACAAATGTATATAACAGCTATACAGTAAAATAAAATGTTTCACACATGCATATAGGGTTATAGAAAAAGGTGTAGTTTAAAACATAACTCAAGCAATAGAATTGAGGACACATGCAAGATACTGGAAGTACACTAGTAGCTGCCCCCATGAATGAATAGCCAGCAAGCCAAAGCCACATAGGTGCTAGTCAAGTTTATAGAAAAAAAATCATCTTAGATTTCAATCAGTATTTTACAATTATATTTATTTACACAGCCCAGGAGGTCTAAGAGGGCAACACCAGAGAATTGATCTAGCCTAGATTTTCAAAGAATGCCTAAAAACAAAGTACCTAAAGCCCAGATGAAGCAGAGTATGTGCCTAACTGTAAAAGCTAATTTTTCTGACATAATGTGAACAAAGTGGACCAAAGCATCTGGGTCTATGAATTGAAGTTAGGTCTCCTATATGGCAGTAACTTTGCATTGCAGCATTAGTGAAGAAGTGTGTCACATTGCTCAGCATTGTGTGATCATGTATTTGAAGATCCTATTACAACACATACTTGCAAGGGGGCCAAGTTAAGGTTGCTATGAAGACTAACGCTTGACTTTCCTTAATTCTACAAAATTAAAATCTGAAAAATTTAACACTCATTGATAAAATATAGCTCACTGTATGCAATTTAATTTTTTTTTAAATAAGTGATTGGAAAGAACGTGAAGATAGAATACCAGCTCAGCCTTCACTACAATTACTGCTATAGAATTCTATCATCTACATAAATTCTGAAGTTTTTACTGATCATGGTACAGTATTCAGTCCTCAATACTATTGTCCAATGACAGCAGCAATATTTAACTGTTATTCTTGCTACGTACAAAACAGTTTCATTTACAGTGTTTACACTGAAATTAAAACTGGCAATGCATAAGTGCCAAGAAGGGGTAATAACTGCAGAACCTGATAACAAAGACGGTGCAAAACCCAAGAAGTTAATCATGACACTTGAGTCATCCTACACCATTGATAGCAAGATGGGGGGAAAGCCCTGACTTCAGTGGCACAGGATCAGAGCTCAAGGTGAACAAAAATTAAGGGCCTCAATCAATGCCCAATAAAGTTAATGGAAACTCTCCCATCACTTCCATGAGCAGTGGCTTAGGTCTTAAGTGACTGAGGTCTTGACGTTAAGGCTGAGCTGGGATTCAGGAGATCTGAGTTAATTCTCCATCTCTCGCAGAGACTTCCTGTGTGACACTGGGCAAGTCAATTCAATTGCCTGACAACCAGTGCGAAGTTGATGTAAAATGCTACTATTCTGATTTGATGATATTTTACAACCATTTTACAATAGTGCAAATGACTATGTGGTGCAGGGCAACAAAGAATCAGGCCCATTATATCTAAGCCTCGGTTTTTCATCTATAAAACAGCTTGATAACACTTCCTTTTTCCTCCACTGTGTCTGTCTTCTCTATTTTGGATCAGGGAACGTCTCTCACTACAAGTATATACTACATCTAGCACAACACAGCCCTAATCTTTATTAAAAAATTCTTAATGTTAAGGAATCTAATCTAGGGGCAAATGGAAATTTTGCTCTGAATCTAAAAGGAAAGGCAGGGCTACGTACTGTGCTAACAGGTGAATCTGGCTTTTTCTGTCACTGGCAGTACTCTTGTTGTCCTGTTTCCAACATCTATCCCCTACCCCTGCAAGTGCAACTGATACCAATTCCCGTAATTTATCCCATCCAGAATGTGTTCATACATATCTTATTATTTGAGTTTGACGCACCATTAACTTTAAGATTATGTAAAATCTTCTGCAGGTGACAAACTGAAAAATTCAAGAGAATTGTTGTTGTAGGGAAAGTGTATTCAGCAGGCTTACCCTGAGCAGGAACTCCACACACTAGAGGGTATACACACTTAGTATGCAATGTTTAGTATGATCTCATGGTCTTTCCTTTTAGGTTCCTTTTTCACATGCGCATTGTATAGTCAAATAGCTTCATAAACACCTAATCGGAGAAATGCATGTGCTACATTTTTTATATTAAAAATGTATTTTTCTCTTGGTCTGGAAAGCTGAGAAATATTTTAAAATCTCCTATTTATTGTTTTTAAAAGGTTTCCAAAATTTCACTTATAGGCTGAAGACTGGGAATTTTCAGCCCAGAAAAGTTTTTTCTCTTTTTAATCATTAAGAACAACAGAGTATATGGATTAAGAATGAAAGTTTCAATACTATTATCTAGGCGCTATGGCAAGACAAATAATAATTAATGATACCACCACACTTCTATTTACTACTATATATTTGCATATGTGTAACTCACATTATAACTATTTGTTACAAAAAAGTATATTTTCAGTTCCATATACAGGATATTTAGCCTTAAGTCTTTTAAACTTGATGTATAATATAAACATTTCTGTAATCAGCTAAAATTAATGTCAGTTGCTGGCAGGTATCATTATTTCATTGGAAAGTAACATTTCATAGGTGAAAGATGTACCAGATAAGAGCTTACCATGCCTACTTCTCTAGTAACACCTTCTCCATATCTGATATTTGACACAGCCATCTACAAAAATAATTAAAGAATAGTTGTTTTAGAAAATATAACTACACGGAACTCAATCCAAATGCTTCAATTATGAATATACCATTTTAATAATTGAAACATCTTTTTTAAAACGCCACACTTAAACATACTAAATCTTCACTCTAAATGGAAATATACTTATTTATTAAATCTACCTCAAAAGCATAGTCTGTTCTCCTCAAAGCAGCATGTTCAGGAGCTGGAGTGGAAATTAAATAATAGAATTAGCAGGAAATTTGATATGTAAAACAAATCTTCATTACAATTTTCAACAGTTTCAGCTAAGGAACTCCCTGGCTTTAAAATGTGATTTTTTAAAAAATGTGTTTACATATTGCTCCTTGTTTGATTTTTATATCTCCATTTTTGTTGGGATTTGCTTGTTTTGAGTCTGATTTTCCAACCCTTACTCATGCTGAACACTGGCTTGGACCACTACTGATCCTGCAAACCTACCTACCCAAACCTAGTCCCATTGACGGGCTAGTTTGATATATGTTGACATAATTGAATAAGAGCGAAATTTTTTAAAAAAAGAGTTAGTTCTTTGTTCTTACATGCTCTGAATAAGTTATCAGCAATTTTGCATGTATTTATAGCTAAAATATTTGTTAAGAATCTAAAAAGATGAAAGATTCATTTCAAATGATAATACAGACTCAGATTCCATGACATGTATTATATCCAGATCTAGGAGATAGGTATACATGGGCCTCCAGGGCAATATTCATTACATATAACACAGCACATATTTGAGTAAAAGGCACTATTTGTACACAAGAAGCTGAAGAAAGATTGGTGTCAGGATTTACAATGGCCCCTTGCTCTGAACTAGTATGGAAATCCTACACTTTCAGTCATCTCATCTCCCCACTGCCAAATCTCTCACGTACAAGCTATGGAAAGCTCTGCATACTCACAAGTTTGCCACAAAATTGAATAGAGTATCAGAGAGACAAAAAACAAAACAAGATAAAATATTCTGCCCTCCCAGCAAAAGATCAAGTCACTCCATATGTATGGTATATGAAGTGGAAACTTACTATTTGGATTCAGATCCAATGAATGAAGCCATGATAATGAGCCTACAAGTGCTTTGCTGTGAATTAGAGTGCTGATCCACAAGAATAACACAAACATTAAGATCCCTTTATGTGCGCTCTATTCAAGCTCAGGCCTGCTACAATCAGTTCATCCATTACTGCCCCTCGCCAGGCTGTACACGTTTGACCTTTCCTAGTGTTGGAGTTTGTTGCTGTTTCAATAATTAATTTGTCAGTCTGAGGACAAGTCCAAGCCCTTTACATCCATTTCCTTTTGATGGTAAAATAGAAGTTCTGCTCTTGTATTCTTTGGTACAGCTTAACTTTTGTTAAGGACTTTATCGTGCCATAAAAACTGTATTGCTTTTGCAGAACACTGGCATGAAACAGACATTTTTCAGACAGAAGTTGCTATTAAGTAATTCCCCACTTTTTAGAGGTCTATTGAACTGATAATAGTCTTGCTACTCTGTATCATCAATTTTTGCTGTAGACTGTAGAGTATACAGGTGGGATTTCTACATCATGTAAACTTCACCTTCACTAAGACCTGTCTTGAATTAACTCAATAGGGCACCAAACAGTTAGTCAGGAGACCTCAGATCTACTTCCAGCTCCCCCATTTTCTTGCTGTGTGATGTTGGGCAAATAAATTTACCCACTTGGTGCTTCAGTTTCCCCATCTGCAAAATGGTGATGGTAATGCCTATTGCATCTTTGTAAAGCAATATGAGATCTGACTGAAGTGAATTGTATAAGTGTTAAATATAATCAGATTCCACCATTTTCAGTTAGTGTATGACCCATAAGTTTGTTTAGTTTCCAGAGCCCCAATCCTGCAACTAGGTGTACCTGAGAAAGCACTTTCCAGGTACAACTCCCTGGCATGAGGGTCTGCTCTATTGAATCTGATTGCAAGATCAACAAGGCCTAACACTGGAGATGAAGAGTTAAAGACTTGCAGGTTCAAATTTTCGTAAGTGACTAATGACTTTGAATGGCTCGATTTTTGAGAACCCAGCTTGAGTTACCTAACCCTTGACCCTAGTCCTAAATTGACCCATTCAAAATCACTAATCACTTATGAAAATTTAGGCTATAGTTTTAATTTCTATTTATAAGACAAGTCTATTCCAGTCTCTTGGCATATTTCCAGCATTTTAAAAATGAACTTACAGGATGTATTCAATGATTATGAAAGGACACTTCATATATAAAAATGATGAAAGCAGATTTAATACTTATAGAATTAAAAGTGAAATATATTTTATCTGTAATAATGTTTATAATGTTCCTTTATACATGATTGGGGGAAAATATCCAATTTCATATTAAAATTAGGGCTGTAAATTAATCGCAGTTAATACATGCGATTACCACAAAACAAAATAACTAGATTAAAAAGGTCATAATTGCAGTTTTTATCGCACTGTTAAACAATAATAGAATGCCAATTTAAATTTATTATAAATATTTCTGGATGTTTTTCTACATTTTCAAATATATTGATTTCAATTACAACACAGAATACAAATATTTTTCAATTCACCTCATACAAGTCCACTCAGTCCTACTTCTTGTTCAGCCAATCAGTCAAACAAGTTTGTTTACATTTACAGGAGATAATGTTGCCCTCTTCGTATTTACAATGTCACCTGAAAGTGAGAACAGGTACTGTTGTAGCCAGTGTTCCCTCTAATTTTTTACATCCACGTGCGGAATGAGTTTTGTTATGTGCACCAATATGGAGGTGATGTATGGCGAGGGTGGGGCCAAGGGGTTCAGTGTGTGGGAGGGGGCTCAGGGCTGGGGCAGATGGTTGAGGTGCGGGGGGTGGTGGTGAGGGCTCTGGCTGGGAGTGCGGGCTCTGGGGTGTAGGAGGGGGCTCAGGGTTAGAGTGTGGGGGGTGATGGCTCTAGCTGGGGGTGCAGGCTGCCCTGGGGCTGTGGCAAGAAGAGAGGACTCCCCCCAGCCTTCTCTCGCTGCAGCAGCTCGGGGCCGGGGTGCCTCTCCCCGATCATGGCAGCTCCGGTGGGACTGGGCCGGGCCAGCCGGGGGAAGGGGCTCGTCATCCCGCTTGCATGGCTCTTGATAGCCTGCTGTGTGGCCGTGCAGCTTAGAAGGAACTTAGGTTGTAGCCAACGTTACAAGGTATTTAAATGCCAGATATGCTAAGTATTCATATGCCCCTTCATGCTTTGACTTGTAGGCTCTAAAGTTTTATATTGTTTTGTTTTTGAGTGGAGTTATGTAAAAAAAAAAATTCTACATTTGTAAATTGCACTTTCACAATAAAGAGATTGCACTACCGTACTTGTATGAGGTGAATTGAAAAATACTATTTCTTTTGTTTACCTTTTTACAGTGCAAATATTTGTAATAAAAAATAAAGTGAGCACTGTACACTTTGTATTGTGTTGTAATTGAAATCAATATATTTGAAAATGTAGAAAAACATCCAAAATATTTATAAATTTAAATTGGCATTCATTATTGTTTAACAGTGAGATTAATTGCAACTATTTTTAATTTCATGATTAATTGCTATTTTAAAAAAATTGTTTGACAGCCCTAATTAAAATGGTTTTTACTTCTCTTTGGTATCAATTACATACTCTTTCTAAGTATGCTATATTTATTATCACTTTGCCCTACCTTTGTTGTAACTTTTATTGAATGCAAGCCTGAATTTGAAAAATGCAGAATCATTTGGGGGACACACATTAAGGATAATCTTACCTTGAGAGTAAGTGTGGGAATGAGTGGGACACTGGCATCTAATTAAACGAAAAAGAAATGTCTGTTTAAAAAAGAAATAGGAAAGCAAAGACTTTAACAAGTCTACATCTAAGAGCAATTGTCGTGTCTTGTAAGTAATTTTTCTTGCCACCATATCTCACAAGATTTGTCACAAACAGGGACTGCCATCTAGTGTTCCACATAGGTAACGATGTTTCTTTATTACTCAAATGCTGAATTGTTAGACCCTAATTTAAATGTATCTGAGTGCAGCTTAGGTCTGATTTTGGTGCAGTTTAAATTAGTTCCTCAAACCATCTGTTGCTTAAATTGCACTAAGAGAATAGGTGCCTATGGAAACACCAGAGAACATCCCTAAAGTGGAGATAACACTTCCCTACCTCACAGGGGTGTTGTGAAGATGAATTAATATAGTCAAGGTGTTCAGAGTACATAGTGATGGAGGCCACACAAGAGGCTAAATAGGCAGATTACTAGAGGGGCGAGGATCCCAGGGAAGAAGAATCACTCCACTGGAGGGTGAGGAAGATGTGAGGGTAGTAGCATGAAAGTTGCATTAAGCAAAAGCTTCTTGTGTTGTGCTGATGGAGCCCTAAGGAGATGGGTGTGGAGCAAGCCCAGCACTTCTGATGGGCAGCTGTGCAGCAGCCACACGGCATAGTTAGGTCCGAGTACTGTGAAAGAAGATGAGGAAGTTACTGCTGCTAGTTCTGGGGACAAGTAGAGTATCCCCTATCTGAAGATTTAAAATGATTAAAAGATACCTTTCCAAAGCTCTAGGTGCTCTAACGATTAATTAGACAATACACTGATGACCCCTCAGTTTTAAGAGTGGCCAACTATACTGAGACCATCAATGCCCGTGTCCATTAGAGATGATGGTTTTTGTGATGCACACAACTGGGAAATATATGGTTTCAGCTATCACTTACCATTTCACTGCTACTGCATTTTAAAAAAAATAATCATAGTATGTCCAATATTGGGTTGCTTGCCCTTCTCCAGATCAAATACATGGTCTTAAGAAAAATGAAGCCAGTGGTACATAGAGGTTGGATAAGTATTAGCCAGAATGGGCAGGGATGGTGTGTCCCTATCCTATGCTTGCCAGAAGTTGGGAATGGGCGACAAGGGATGGATCACTTGATGATTACCTGTTCTGTTCATTCCCTCTGAAGCAGCTGCACTGGCCACTGTCAGAAGACAGGATACTGGGCTGGATGGACCTAGTATGGCCATTCTTATGTGCTTTGGCCCAAACCCACACTTATGTTGAGACTACTGAGAGGCGGTCAAAATGGACAGAAGTATGATTAGATTTGGTCGCCCTGGCTTTTTTGAGAGAGTATTTCTTCAGGTCATTTTGTATTAGTAGTTTGTAACAGCATGTTTGAAAGCCTTCATATGACACCCCTACATTTTGCTACTTTGACACACACAGTGCACAGGCTAATGTCAGCAGCAGGGCCTGAGCGCAAGGTTTTGAGGTGGATGAGAGATATGATGCAGATTTGGATTAAACAGCAAGACTAGTTCCGTCCATTGAGAGCACCATGACACACAGTGAAAGAGACTTTCTTCCTTTCATTGCAGCAGGTGTACCTGCTCCTGCCCCTTCACAGCAATACCCATAAAGAGAAAGGGCAGCAAAGGGGTTAGTCATTTCCCAATGCAGGACAGAGGAGGCAGACACGATTTGCTGGACGTGGGGGTGGGAATCTTCTCCTCTGCATTCACGCTGCTCCCAGAAACTACACTACAAAAGGAACAAGTGTCTAAGCTGCACACATAGTCCTGCCTCTGTGGAGCTTGCAGATCTATGAAATTTGTTGCTTGCTACAACGTTCTCTGGCTCTTACTAAAGAGGCCTCCAAAGCTGATTTATCAGCCATATCTCATGTCACGTACCCTTCCCTCCCTCCCCCCAAGCCCGGCAGGCCGAGGGGATCAGGGAGGGGGACGGTGGCACGGCACCCTAGGAGCTGGTGCCCAGAGGCAAACACTCACGCTGCGCGCTGCAGCTGCCTCAGCAAGTGAGCGACTCTCTCCCGTCCTCCTGCCATCGCGGCGACTGCTGGGGGATGGCAGGGCACCAGCAGGGCCTGCCGGGAAAGCGAGCGGCAGCAGCTCCGCTGCACACAGCATGCATGGAAGGGAGCGAGGGGGCGGACGGGACTGCAAGTTATTTGCTGAACTCTCTCCCCTCCCCTGCTGGATCTGGCCGCCACATGACAAAGTCGGCTGCAGGGACACAGGGGCTAGCTGGACCGCTTTGAACGCCCGCCTTTGGCTACTTGGTCCATTAGAGCTAAGGCAGAGATCCGAATCACTGTTCTATGTATTTGGGTATAGCAGGGGGTTTCAGCCTTTTTTCATTTGTGGACACCCTAAAATGTGTCCACAGACCAGAGGTTGAAAACCACTGGTGTTTACTACTGGCTTGCTCTCCCCTAGCAGAATTGGGTACTTACATAATTTCAATAAGATTACAGTGTTATAGGACTGTCCATAAAACACTTTCAGTGGTGGATAGGTCCTTAAGTTTTGTTTCAGTGTTATAAAAGGATGGGAGGAGTCCTGAAGCTACCAAAAATGTTTTAAGTAATGTATGGACAGCCTCTATCTGAGAAAATCTCCCCCCCAAACAGAACTCTAGTTTTTCCTGCACACCTCTGCCTCACTTATTGTTCATTTCATAATGAATCAAGCACCTGGTGATGCTGTAATTAAAGTTTTGTTTTTTTCCCTCTAAAACCTGCCTATACAAACTCAAATGACCAAAAATGAGCCTCAATCCTGCAGAAACTGAAAGTATATCCATAACTCTAACTGCATTAGTTCTACTGACTTTTAGCACATACACATACATATGCAGGCTTGAGGCCTTAGCAGTCTAAGAGGCAGAAAGCAGTTTTTAAAAAATAGGTAAGTATCTCTTCCTTCCATATGAGATTAGTCAGAGTCAAAATTTAAAAGCCAATGTAAAAGACAAATAGCAATCTCCCAGTTTGGGAGACTGACCTGAACAGTGAAAGAGTGCCAATTACTTAGTTCAAAATGTGGACTATTTTAAATACTACCCTGGTTTTAGAATGCGGACAGTAAGTGGAGAGAGATCCCTAGACAAAATGTGAGATGTACTTTCAAAATAAAGGCATCACAGAGATGCAATATATTAATATTAAAATCAGCACACAGTTTGATTAGTCCAGGCGACAGGGCCTACAATTAATTTTTTAAAAATAGATATGTTGTATCTTTCAGAATCCAGCTGGTACTCTGCATTCTAGGAAGCAAAGGGGTGTCATACTGAGAGGTACTCATAAAAGTGGCATGGGGAGAGGGCAAATGGAGATGTTACATTAGACCTGATTAGGGTTCGGATATCCCCTCCATTCCCTTTGAGGAGCAAAACATGGTATCCTAAAATAATGTACGTATGGTTGCATTGTTGGTTACAGAAATATAACTTTTTTTTTTTAAAAAGTCATTCTCTGCTAAAGACTGATATAAAAAAAGCCAGGGTGTAAATTCATGGAGGTCTTGTACTTTTTATAATAGCATTTGCTCAAAAAGGTGCCTCCATTTTATTACGATCTCATAATTATATCAGTAATCAGACAGGTCTTTTAATTATGAGTATTAAAGGCTTTCAGCCAAAAAAGTCTACCCTAGGGTTAAAAAAAACCAAAAGCTCTTGATTTCTGAAATCTTTTAAACACTCCAGTTTTCACAACTAGCAACAGCCCTGGGGGTCCCACTCCCTATCTTTTCCAGGATAGCCTCTCAGAGATCCATATCCTGAACATTTAAGCTCTACAATGCTAATAATTAATGGCTATATCATCCCTCCAAAATTCTTGTGACTCTCAAAAAGAAGATCTGTTGCATTCTGGCTGTTGTGCAATCTTGATAGCATATCCTGTAAAATTCAAAGAGACTAGAACAGTGGTTCTCAACCTTTCCAGATGACTGTACCCCCTTCAGGAGTCTGATTTGTCTTGCGTACCCCCAAGTTTCACCTCATTTAAGAACTATTTGGTTACAAAATCAGATAAAAAAACACAAAAGTGTCACAGCACACTAGGACCAAAAAATTGCTTACTTTCTCATTTTTACCATATTATAAAATAAATCAATTGGAATACAAATATTGTACTTACATTTCAGTGTGTAGTATATAGAGCAGTTTGAACAAGTCATTGTCTGTATGAAATTTTAGTTTGTACGGACTTCACTAGTGCTTCTTATGTAGCTTGTTGTAAAACTAAGCAAATATTTAATGAGTTGTACCCCTTGGAAGACCTCTGCACATGTCCCTGGTTGAGAACCACTGGACTAGAGTTTAAACCTGGGTTTGAAACAGTTGTCCCTTTTACATGGGGCTATGAGTGCTGACTCACCTGTTGTCCCGCCAATGGCATAGCTTCAATGACTACGTCCAAATGAACTCTACAACAGGTGGCAAGTTGGAAAGTAGGGACACTCTCAGTTTCAACCACTTGACACCAGAATGATGGTACTTAGAGCAAAACCATTGAGTATATGTGATGTTTACATAAGTTACATGAGTAATGGAGTATCTCCTGCAAGCCTTCAAGTCTCAGTGTCATCCAACCCCCATCCCAGCCTTCAGCTCTCTCCAACCCCACTCTCTCTTTTCCTCACCCACAGTACTTTTGCTAAGAAAAGCTGGGCCTATGTAACATCTGACTGGCTTGTGTCCAAAGCACGTGAACTGAGAATCTGTAATTTTAGGAGTAACAACTTTTTCAGATAGTGTTAATATTTTGAAGTATGTAAACCCTTCCAGTATGAGCTTTCACTTGATTTTTCAATTAAAGAGCAAATTCGTAAAAAAGCAAGTAACATTCCTTGTGGAAACAAGGAAGTTGTGGGAACTAGAGTTCCTATTACCTCATTTAAACATTAAAATATATCACTTAATTCCAGTCTCTCCCCACACATCAGAAAACACTTCCCTACAAGTAGCTGAACCTGTTAATAAGGCCATAACTTTTTCAGTTCTAGTAGCAAACCAGGGCTACAGAGTTCAAACAGCAAACACTGATCTGAAGATTTTGGTTCAGGCCTCTCTCTACTTTCAAAAGGAAAAGACAGTGGGCTTGTAAGTTTTTCATCTCTATGATAAATGAGACACATGCAGTTTTCAAGATTTTTTTCTGCCTTAAAAAAAAAACAACACAAAAAACCTCTAAAATGCCTCTACTATCAGAATTCAAAGACTAATGGTAATAAGTCAAGAGTGAAAGTTGAGGGGAAAGTATTTGTAGTCACTGTTTGGTTAAAAAAAAACAATGGAACTTAATGGCTAGTGAACATTCAGGATAAAACGAGGAGTATTTGTGGTACCTTAGAACAGGGGCGGGCAAACTTTTTGGCCGGAGGGCTGCATCAGGTTTTGTAAACTGTATGGAGGGCCTGTTAGGGGAGGGGGTCAGGCCCCCCCAGGACTCCTACCCCATCCAACCCCCCCGTTCCCTGATGGCCCTCCTGCCCCATCCAACCACCCCTTCTCCCTGTCCCCCCTGCCCCTGACTGCCCCCTGCCACCCAATCCAACCCCCCCCCTTCCTAAACTGCCTCCCCAGGACCCCTGCCCCCATTCAACCCCCTGACCACCACCCCAAACTCCCCTGCCTTCTATCCAACTCCCCCCCCGCCCCCGCTCCCTGCCCCCTTACCGCGCTGCCTGGAGCACCGGTGGCTGGCGTAGGGTGACCAGACAGCAAATGTGAAAAATTGGGACGGGGGTGGGGGGTAATAGGAGCCTATATAAGAAAAAGACCCAAAAATTGGGACATCTGGTCACCCTAGGCTGGCAGCGCTGGAGCCAGGCCATGCCACTGCCACCATGCAGCTCAGAGCACCGGGTCAGGCCGGGCTCTGTAGCTACACTGCCCCAGGATCTCACAGCCCTGCCGCCCAGAGCATTGCGCCAGCGGCAGAGCGAGCAAGCTAGCTGAGGCTGCGGGGGGAGGGGGGACAGCAGGGGAGGGGCCGGGGGCTAGACTCCCGGGCCAGGAGCTCAGGGGCCGGGCAGGACGGTCCCACGGGCGGGATGTGGCCTGCAGGCCGTAGTTTGCCCACCTCTGCCTTAGAGACTAACAAATTTATTTGGGTATAAGCTTTCATGGGCTAAAATCCACTTCATCAGATGCAGGGAGTGGAAAATACAGTAGACAGGCATATATACACACAGTACATGAAAAGATGGGAGTTGCCTTATGTGACGTTATTGATATAATCTGGGACCATATAGATCATTGTTGCAACCAAGGTCCTGTAGTGGCACCCAAATCTTGTATAAAGGGGGTCAAATGGGGTGTCTTAGACAAGGTTATGGTTTACTGGTTATGATTAGGCTGTCTATATGTGTGTATCAATTTTGTAGTTGAAGTTATGAATATTGGCTCTATACTGTCTGTATTTCAAACTTATGCTATGCTGCTGGGTGACATCCCAGACAAATGGGTGTTAGCTCTGCCTAGCCTGCTTGATGGCCCATTAAGGACCATCAGCTATACAATGGACCCATCGAGAGAAGGCAGATACGCCTTGTAACTCAGCAAAGTATGCAGGGACTGGCCCATGTGACTCCAGACTCCATTTTGCTGTAATTTTCCACAGTAAGAACAAAGAGGTGTTCTTACACCTGGAAAAGACTATATAAGGCTGATGCCTCATCTCCATCTTGTCTTCAATCCTGCTTCATACCTCTGGAGGAACTTTGCTACAAGCTGAAGCTTTGAAAAAAGGACTGAGGACCCATCCCAGCGGGGGATGTATTCCAGAGACTTGATTTGAACCTGCAGTTTATTCTATCACTACTGCAAGCCTGAACCAAGAACTTTGCCATTACTGTATGTAATTGATTCTATTTAACCAATTCTAACTCTCATCTCTATCTTTTTCCTTTTATGAATAAACCTTTAGATTTTAGATTCTAAAGGATTGGCAACAGCGTGATTTGTGGGTAAGATCTGATTTGTATATTGACCTGGGTCTGGGGCTTGGTCCTTTGGGATCAGGAGAACCTTTTTTCTTCTACTGGGGCATTGGTTTTCACAACCATTTGTCCCCATAACGAGTGGTACTGGTGGTGATACTGG